TTTCGGCTGCTCACAGTTATTGCTTGGCCGGTTTCCATTTAGTTCGACTACTCACAGCTATTGCTTGACGGTTTCAATTGAGTTCGGCTACTCACAGTTATTGCTAGGCCGCTTTCCATTGAGTTCATCTACTCACTGTTATTGCTTGGCCGGTTTCAATTGAATTCGGCTACACACAGATATTGCTTGGCCGGTTTCCATTGAGTTCGACTACTCACAGCTATTGCTTGGCCGGTTTCAATTGAATTCGTTTACTCACAGTTATTGCTTGGCCGGTTTCAATTGAGTTAAGCAGCTCACAGTTAATGCTTGGCCGGTTTCAATTGAATTCGGCTACTCACAGCTATTGCTTGGCCGGTTTCCATTGAGTCCGGCCACTCACAGATATTGCTTGGCCGGTTTCAATTGAGTTCGGCTACTCACAGTTATTGCTTGGCCGGTTTCAACTGAGTTCGACTACTCACAGCTATTGCTTGGCCGGTTTCAATTGAGTTCGGCTACTCACAGTTATTGCTTGGCCGGTTTCAACTGAGTTCGACGAATCACAGCTATTGCTTGGCCGGTTTCAATTAAGTTCGGCTACTCACAGTTATTGCTTGGCCGGTTTCAGTTGAATTCGACTACTCACAGCTATTGCTTGGTCAGTTTCAATTGAGTTCAGCTACTCAGAGTAATTGCTTAGCCGGTTTCCATTGAGTTCGACTACTCACAGCTATTGCTTGGCCGGTTTCCATTGAGTTCGACTACTGACAGTTATTGCTTGGCGGGATTCAATTGAGTCCGGCCACTCACAGATATTGCTTGGCCGGTTTCAATTTAATTCGGCTACTCACAGCTATTGCTTGGCCGGTTTCAATATAATTTGGCTACTCACAGTTACTGCTTGGCCGATTTCAATTGAGTTCGGTTACTCATAGCTATTGCGTGGCCGGTTTCCATTGAGTCCGGCCACTCACAGATATTGCTTGGCCGGTTTCAATTGAGTTCGGCTACTCACAGTTATTGCTTGGCCGGTTTCAATTTAATTTGGCTACTCACAGCTATTGCTTGGCCGGTTTCAATTGAGTTCGGCTACTCACAGTTATTGCTTGGCCGGTTTCGATTGAGTTCAGCTACTCACTGTTATTGCGTGGCCGGTTACAATTGATTTCGGCTGCTCACAGTTATTGCTTGGCCGGTTTCAATTTAATTCGGCTAATCACAGTTATTGCTTGGCCGGTTTCAATTGTGTTCCGCTACTCACAGTTATTTCTTGGACGGTTTCAATTGAGTTCAGCTACGTTATAGCTTGGCCGGTTTCCCCGGTTTCCATTGGGTTCGGCTACTCACAGATATTGTTTCCGGTTTCAATTGAGTTCGGCTACTCACAGATATTGCTTGGCCGGTTACCTTTGAGTTCGGCTACTCACAGCTATTGCTTGGCCGGTTTCAATTGAATTCGTCTACTCACAGTTATTGCTTGGCCGGTTTCCATTGAGTTCGGCTACTCACGGTTATTGCTTGGCCGGTTTCAATTGAATTCGGCTACTCACATTTATTGCTTCGCAGGTTTCCATTGAGTTCGGCTACTCACAGTTATTGCTTGGCCGGTTTACATTGAGTTCAGCTAAACACTGTTATTGCGTGGCCGGTTATAATTGATTTCGGCTAGTCACAGTTATTGCTTGGCCGGTTTCAATTGGGTTCGACTAATCACAGCTATTGCTTGGTGGGTTTCAATTGAGTTCGACTACTCACAGCTATTGCTAGGCCGGTTTCAATTGAATTCGTCTACTCACAGTTATTGCTTGGCCGGTTTCAATTGAGTTAAGCTGCTCGCAGTTATTGCTTGGCCGGTTTCAATTGAATTCGGCTACTCACAGTTATTGCTTGGCAGGTTTCCATTGAGTTCGGATACTCACAGTTATTGCTTAGCCGGTTTCAATTGTGTTCTGCTACTCACTCTTATTGTTTGGCACGTTTCCATTGAGTTCGGCTACACACAGTTATTGCTTGGACGGTTTTCATTGAGTTCGACTCCACACAATTATTGCTTGGCCGGTTTTCATTGAGTTCGGTTACTCAGATATTGCTTGGCCGGTTTCAATTGAGTTCACCTACTCACAGTTATTGCTTGGCCGGTTTCCATTGGGTTCGGCTACTCACAGCTATTGCTTGGCCGGTTTCAATTGAGTTCAGCTATTGCTTGGCCGGTTTCATTGAGTTCGGCTACACAATTATTGCTTGGTCAGTTTCCTTTGAGTTCCGCTACTCACAGTTATTGCTTGGATGGTTTCCATTGAGTTCGGCTACTCACAGATATTGCTTGGCCGGTTTAAATTGAGTTTGGCTACACATAGTTATTGCTTTGCCGGCTTCCATTGAGTTCAGCTACTCACAGTTATTGCTTGGCCGGTTTCAATTGAGTTCCGCTACTCACAGTTATTTCTTGGCCGGTTTCAATTGAGTTCAGCTACACAGTTATAGCTTGGCCGGTTTCCATTGGTTTCCATTGGGTTCGGCTACTCACAGTTATTGCTTGGCCGGTTTTCATTGAGTTTGGCTACTCACAGTTATTGCTTGGCCGGTTTTCATTGAGTTCGGCTACTCACAGATATTGCTTGGCCGGTTTCAATTGAGTTCGGCTATACACAGATATTGCTTGGCCGGTTACCTTTGAGTTCGGCTACACACAGATATTGCTTGGCCGGTTACCTTTGAGTTCGGCTACACACAGATATTGCTTGGCCGGTTTCAGTTGAGTTCGGCTACACACAGATATTGCTTGGCCGGTTTCCATTGAGTTCGGCTACTCACAGATATTGCTTGGCCGGTTTCCATTGAGTTCGGCTACAGAGATACAGGTTTCATTGCTTCGGACGGTTTTGCATTGAGTTCAGCTACTCACAGATATTATTGCTTGCCGGTTTCAATTGGAGTTCGGCTACACACAGATATTGCTTGGCCGGTTACCTTTGAGTTCGGTTACTCATAGATATTGCTTGGCCGGTTTCAATTGAGTTCGGCTACTCACTGTTATTTCTTGGCCGGTTTCTATTGAGTTCGGCTACTCACAGTTATTGATTGGCCGGTTACAATTGAGTTCAGCTACTCACAGTTATTGCTTGGCCGGTTTCCATTGGGTTCGGCTACTCACAGCTATTGCTTGGCCGGTTTCAATTGAGTTCAGCTACACACAGTTATTGCTTGGCCGGTTTCCATTGAGTTCGGCTACTCACAATTATTGCTTGGTCAGTTTCCTTTGAGTTCCGCTACTCACAGTTATTGCTTGTTCGATTTCCATTGAGTTCACCTACTCACAGTTATTGCTTGGATGGTTTCCATTGAGTTCGGCTACTCACAGATATTGCTTGGCCGGTTTAAATTGAGTTCGGCTACTCACAGTTATTGATTGGCCGGTTACAATTGAGTTCAGCTACTCACAGTTATTGCTTGGCCGGTTACAATTGAGTTCGAGTACTCACAGCTATTTCTTGGCCGGTTTCAGTTGAGTTCGGCTACTCACTGTTATTGCTTGGCCGGTTTTCATTGAGTTCGGCTTCTCACAGTTATTGAAATTTGAAAATATTAAATTTTGTTTTAACATTCCCCCAAAACTGTAAGCGGTTGTTTTCATTTAAAGGGATTTAAAAAGAGACTTTTTTTTTGAGAGTAAGAGAGAGAGAGAGAGAGAGAGAGAGAGAGAGAGAGAGATAGAGAGAGAGATCGATTTAAATCCTTTAAGGAAGGTTAAGAGGAAAGGATTATCTACCATTCTTAAAGATTAAGAATTTAGCATCCAATTTAAAATATCAAACGAAAAATTTTTGCCTTAGACATGAAAATCATGTGCTTGGAGTCTCGACCTTTATAAAAAAATAAAGATTTCTTAAATGCAAAATTAATTTATAAATTAATCTCTTGATAACTTGTAGTGCAGTTCGACACCTTTCAGCGTCCATTGGTGCCTTCTGGCTCCCCCGTTCAGAATCGTTTCCCTGGGGTATTGTCCCGTAGGATAATCCTGAGTGAAGATCTTTTACTCAGTGGAAATTGGTATGCAGAAACTAAAATTACTAAATAAGAACTAGAAGGTATATCGCTAGACATGGAGCTTAATGAGAATAATCTATCCCCGTAGATTAAATAAGGGGCTCATTTCAAAATTGCATGAAGGATCGACAAGCACCTAATGCAGACCGAAGAACACAACGGTCGAAACACTGTTATAACAACAACAAACATGAGGACAACAGTTCGCATGAAAATAATGGAAATAATTCATAATTTTAATCTAAATCTACTGAAGTTCATCCATTAATGATAAAAATATAAGTTATATAACCTACATGCAATATAATAATATAATAATAATTTAATATAAATAATAATTATAATTATATAATAATATAATATATATAACACACATATAATATAATATAAAATATAATAATATAAATAATAATTATAATAATATAATAATATAATGTAATAATATAATAATATAATATAAAACATAATATAACCGGTATACAACGTACATATTAACCTATAGAAGTTAATCCATTAATAAGAGTAGATATTTTATAATCTAAAAGGTATATAATGTTTATTTTATTAATAAAAGACGTTTAAATGAATATTAACTAACCAAGTACACATTATGGAAAATCTTGTGGTTTTCAAGGTATAAGGTACCAGAAATGCAGTCCTTAGAAGAAAACGGGCAGACTCTCCGCACGTATTATTTAATTTGATTCGTTCATTCATTTTTACGTCTTATCAACCCGTTGCAGATTATTTAAAGCCAGAAAAAAATTTAGATTATAAGAATTTTGTTTGGAGATAATAATTGTCTAGTGATACATGTCTTACTAATTAACCCATAGGTGAGGGAGAAGAGGTAGATTCATACCTTGCACAATGGTATTTGCGCGTAAGGAACACAAAGGGAATTGGAACTCTCCAATTAACAATTCCGAGTCATTATCCATTATACCAGACTTACAGCCAAGCTTATTGCACCTGGTATTTCCAAGTGGTCACCCATCTAGGTACTGACCAGGCCCGGCATTGCTTAACTTCGTTGATCATAAGGGAACAGGTGTGTCAGCGTGATGAGTCGCAAGCCGTGTGATTTCCTTTTAGTGGGGAAGGCTTGTGCAGAACCAACGGAACTTTTTGGATAAGCCGACTACAGAGATCGGGTCTTCACGTTGTGCCACAAGTACTCCAACCAACCCACGTTTTCAGTTCAGAGTCGCCTTTCTCTTAGACTTGGTAGCAAACAATGCTAAAGGTACGAGCCTAGCGTACTATTTAATCCATAACTGGGGGAGAAGGGATGGATTCAATATTTGCGTATCTGTATGTAATGAAATCGACTGGAACTGAACTCGGCTCCTCGATTTATAATTCCTTCTCGTTCCTCATTGCTATTCTTTACACTAGTTATCCCCCCTATATATATATATATATATATATATATATATATATATATATATATATATATATAAATGAGGGAAAGAACAAATGGAATAAAATTCGACTGTTCGTAGCATTTACTTTTAAAAAAAAGTGCTCAGTACAAAGTAGAGCAATATATTATTATTTTTTTTTATAAGAGATTTTAATGTAACATGTTGAAATTGTGTAGCAATTTCAACATGTTTTATTATAACAAAATTGTATATATATATATATATATATATATATATATATATATATATATATATATATATAATATAATTTCCGTTGGAAAATAATCCAAGTGAATCCTAATAATATAAAATATTAAAATTGATCCACAAAAAGAGCTCAATGTATTTATTATAGCATAGCATATAAATTATATTTCTTGTTGGTAGAAACAGCTATACGAATGAGGTAAATTTGGATTTCTATTCTATGTATATATATATATATATATATATATATATATATATATATATATATATATCCATGTAAAATGAGAACGAATAAAGTTCAATTCCGTGAAATTTATAGTGAACTTAATGATCGCCGACTTAGACTGCAGAAATTATTTATAATGATTACATCGGTCACACAACTACGTGCCTATCCAGACGCCTTACTTTACACCTATCCGACCAGAGCTCCATTAGAATCCATTTAAACACACACACACAAACCTATCAGCCTCTATTAGGAACGTACTAATTGAAAACACAAACGTAATAACCTCATCTACTTGTAAAAAAAAAGATTAAAAATAATTGAAGCCCTAATAATAAAAAAAGAAAAAGCCAACTCTTAATAATATTAACTACGAACAAGGCCACAATGTGCTAGCCGTGTTCGGAAAATAAAACATCTCTATAACACACTAAAAACATACACATAACGCACACACTCAATTAAACTGAAAAAATAAAAGCATCCTTGATAATGGTTAAAATTATAGCCGAAAGCGTTCGAAACTATAGAACAATTGAACAGTTTCTACACATTATGTGTCCAAAAAAGAAAACTCTTGTGCGAACGCAAAAAAGTTAAATAATAGCTTAACCGTAGTACCTTGTCTGTTATTTTTAATGAAACATGCATACACACACACACACATATATATATATATATATATATATATATATATATATATAGGGGGGTGGCGTGTTAAAACAAAAGACCTACCTGTTTTAGTCATGTGATTCTATTCACTTATAAAGCTCTCAAAACTCATTCATCAAAACTGCTTGTAAAGCAGGAAACGACCTTCACATTCTTCAAATTCCTAATGTTCTTACGACTTCTCTTGGAAATTTCAAAACAAAAAACAAATCTACTAGATCAAAATGTGCACAAGCCTTCAGAGATAATGGCAGCTACAATCAGAGACAAACAGTTGGCTCCCACCTATTTTTTTTTCCTACATTTTTTTTAAATGGAAATCATTTGGGGAGTGGCACATGTTATGGACGGTTACTTCGCCATGGTTATAAAAGCAAGCAAGTAGCCTTGACTCTATGCTCCAGTAACAGGCAACAAGAGGTTTGTAGTCTGTACTTAATTACTGAGCATTTTTTCGTTGCCAGAAACTCATTTAAAATGGCTTCCAATAAATCCGAAACGCTTTCTTGTAATTGAAATATATAAAACTTCGATATTAAGAGTATATTTACCAAATTTCGTCTCATGATTTTACATTTCTAATTGCCGTTCACTGAGGCGGGAAAATGCATAATATATATTTTTGAAACAGTCACTTCCCTCTTCATTTTATATATTAACTAGCGCGGCATTTACTCATAGCAGTTTTAATTAGAATTAAAATATCGCTTCAATCTGACTCAAAATGTTGGTACATGATATTTCTGTCGAACATCAGAGAACATTATTTGTGTTCTCTGTGAAAAGCATTACACACACACGCACATACGTGTATGTGTAATACGCAGATATACGCGTTTTCTTTTTAATAAAATTAACATACATTCATCGGCCTAGACAAGTGAAGATCTTGAAAATGTACCTCTTGGTAGACGGTCTCTCTACCTGCATAGCCGAAAGCTTAAAGCATGCTTGTTTAAATGGCGGTTTGGAAAAGGGGAATATAAACTCGATCCTCGTCGAAAACTACGTTTTCTTTAATATAAATTTCTGTAGTCTGGGTCGGCGATCATTAATTTTACTATGTAGAAAACGGGGATGTCCACTCAAATATACAATAAAATAACACTTATAGTAATTAAAATATTATCGGATTAAAATCCATTAACTATATATATGTATGCGCATGCGCTTTCCCGTGGTGCAATGGTTAGCAATCATGCATAGCGAGATTATTTACAAGTTCGATTCTTACTGACTTTGCAATATTTGAGCGGTTTGTCTAGTTTAACTTTGATGATGCATGGAATATTAAAACTTCGTAACTTCATTTTCGATATTTTATAAGTGCAATACAATTGTAATATTGCTTAAATATTTCTATCACACGCATACACACATTCATGTAGGTATCCGATCTAACAGTAATTTCCCAGTGGAGAAAAAACTGACTGGTTACATTCAATACCTCGAAAAGCAAACTTGTTACATTTCATCACTTCCGACTGGCACCCTAACTACCGCCAGTGACGATAAATAGATGTCCTTTCAAGGAGACTCCGTGTTTTGAGAGAATATTGGGCCTCAAACTCACACCCGACTTCAAGTGGAACTCCTATATATGATCGATCGCTAAAGATGCAGGTAAAATGATCGGCTCCCTGTATCGCTCCAGCAAGTACCTGACTTCTGCTATTCTCTACCTTTATAAGAGACAGATCAGGCCGAAAATGGAGAACTGTTGCCAAATATGGACGGAAGCTGTTCAGACCTTGCTAGAGTTAAGTCAAGTGAGTGCGCCTTCTGCTTTAGGCTGAGAAAGTGTTCTATGATGTCTTTTTTTTTTTTACGAATGTTGCAAAGAACGAATGTTGCAATGAACTGTTTTAGTGTGGATTGAACCAGGTTTTTTTCTGCTTTATTAGTAACTAATTGATGCTATAGCAACAACAAAATAAAAAAGGAAACCAAAGCTTTTGGTTACTTGATCTGCATCACCTAATACCATAGATCTCAGAAAAACAGAAGTGGCAGGAAGTGAGATAACACTAGTACTGACACGAGTTTTCATTAAGCTATTCAACAAAAGCAAGCCTATATAATTACACGCTGAAAAATATAATCACGAGCGCGTAATCATCTCACAAGTTATAAAAAGAAAAAACACTTGAAGGGGCTTACCAAAATGTATAGCAAAACTTATTCTCTAGCGAAATATATTTAGTTTTCCCGAATACTTTTTACATTGTGGCAGAATTATTTTAATAATAAATTTTGCCCAATACAAGGCTCTGGTGTCACTCAAGGTAGAGGATTACAGTCAGCAAAATGGTAATACTGAATGACGTGTTGTATGAATAGTAGAAGAAGGTGGTAAGAAATGAAAATCTAATATAAGGCTGGAGAGCCACTCAATGTAGAGGGTTACAGTTAGCAAAATGGTAATACTGAATGAGGTGTGATATGAATAGAAGGAGAATATGATTAGAAATTAAAATCTAATATAAGACTAGAGAGCCACTCATGGTAGAGGATTACAGTCTGAAAAATGGTAATACTGCTTGGGGTGTGATATGAATGAAAGAAGAGTGTGGTAAGAAAGGCAGATTATGCGGATAATGAGGAAATGACAGCTGACGCGTGACTTGAGCCGAATAAATATCGAGGTAACTCGCAATTGCTAAGAAAAATAATTTACCAAAAATTACCATCAGGTTTTTACAGAGATTTCTTTTCTGATGTTTTTCGAAATATCTATGGTAGAATAATCTTTCGTAAATCTGATCATCCTGTGAAATCGTAGTCAAACGTTATTAAAATTTTGTTTCAGATCAGTCACCTGTTTCAGGTGGATTGCCAAGCAGACAAGACTGAGCAGGTTCGACATCTTCTCTTTGCATTTAATCAAGATCACAAAGCTGCCAAAGCTGCTCGTGACATTTGTACTGTGTACAGGGATGAATTCATTATTAACAGAATGGTAACGAAATGGTTTTCCTCATTTCAAGGAAGGGAAGTTCGAACTCACAGACTCTCCACGTTCTCGACGTTCTCGTTCAGTATGATGAGAACCAATTTCACGCGCTGATTAAAGAAGAACCGCACCAGACCCCAAGGGAAATGGCTCAGAAGATGGCAAGGTCTCATGTTACTATCGCTCGTCAACTTCGCTCAATGGGTAAGGTCCAGAAAAAGTTGGGTATGTGTGCCACACGCATTGACCGAGACAAACAAACTCCATGGACGCAGGTTCACTCGCCTGGCACCAGGCTACTCGGGAATATAACGAAAGAAATCGGTTGAGAAGTTCTGCTCTCCCATCATATTCTCCTGATTTGGCACCATCAGACTAACACATTTTTCACTCGTTTTCAAACAATTTTAGGGGTGTTTCCGTCAACAATGACGTGGAGCCTAAGACGTTGCTCGAGGATTTTTTCAAGTAAAAACTTAGTGATTTCTATCGTCAAGACATTGAACAGTTAGTGAATCGTTGATTGATTCAGTCATTCATTCATTTTTTACGGCTTATCAACCCTCTGCAGGTTATTTAAAGTCAGAGAATATTTTTAGATTGTAAGAATGTTATTTGGAGATAATAATGGTTATAGCGATACAAGTTTTAATAATTAACCCATAGCTGGGGGAGAAGAGGTGGATTTATACCTTTCCCTGGGGTATTTGCGCGTAAGTGAATCAAACAAACCCAACGAGAATTGAAACTCGGATCCCGATTAAGAATCCCGTGTCTTTACCCACTACACCTACATGTCCAAGCTTACAAGTCATTATTTTCTCTTCTAGTTAAATATTCTACCCATTTTTGTTGTTGTTGGAATTGTTCAAAGGATTTTATGAGATAAAGATCTTGTGATTTTTAGCACCATTCTGTAGGGTTTGATGAATGATCGTCTTTTTAAAGATTTATAAGATTTATTCAATTGAAGCCATTCTTAACTATTTATCTGAGAAAATATGTAGTTGTCATAAATTTCATAGTTTAGACATTTCTAAATGATCTGTCTATATTTCTGAGATGAGGTATTATGTACATTATTTACATTATTCGGACTATTGTCCTCATCTTTGTCGTCATATTTAGTACAACGTTTCGGCCTTTCAGTATCTGTCTATATTTCTGAGATGAGATATTATGTACATTATTTACATTATTCGGACTATTGTACTCATCTTTGTTGTCATATTTATTACAACGTTTCGGCCGTTGTACGCTCCGTGTTTCTTCAGGTGGTTGGAATGTTGAACTGACCCTTTATTTCGCTCACTGGGGTAGACTGTTCTAGTTCCACTTATCATGTTTAATGGATCTCAGTTGTCAGTTATCTCCTGTTAAGGACACATAGTACAGTGGATAAATGCGTTAGTTAGATCCAGTGACAGGATCCAAAGAGTGTGAGTTCAATACCCGGTTAAGGCAGAGGGAAATTAACAGGAGATAATTGACAAATGGCATCCATTAAACATGGCACGGGGAACTAGAACAGTCTACCCCAGTGAGCGAAATAAAGGGTTCTGTTCGGCATTCCAACCACCTGAAATCTATTCTGTTTAGCTTAATACAAAACAAGACCAAATTGAAATCGGTAGAATGTATTACACCAGTCTTTCATACTGGGAATTAACTAACTGATGGAACGTCCTGGATATAACGTTAAACTACATCTGGCAGCAAGGCCTCTGACCGGGGAAAATTCAATTTTGACATTAAATGATCTTGATAAGCCTCTAAACAAACAAACCAAAACGTGAATATATAAACAACAAAAGTACTGAGTAAAATATCGAATGGGTGATATTCATCACAAAAATACATTTTTTGATAATCTTATTAAGCTAAACTAAATTTTTAAGAGGTGAATGATATAGATTTTAAAAGTGTATGGTTCATAATTGGAGAGAGGAAATTGTTTTCGTAAAGTTCTGATTGTAACTATTGATCTTGACCAGCTGAGTATTCGATGAAAAAATCTAGTCTTCAGTTCTGCAAATCTTTTAATCATTTCATCTTAAGTAAGGGATAATGTCACTAAGACGTAAGGGGTTACGGGGAATGAAAGTGAATGAGGAATTACAGAGAGTGAAATAGAATGAAAAGACGAGAAGCAAAGAAAAGGATAATAAAGGAACAATTTTTAGGAATACTCAGCATGTTCGATATCTGCTCATTGATTTTCTCAAGATCAAAGAAGTTGCCGAAGCTATTGGTGCCATTTGTACTGTGTACAGGGATGAATTCATTACCAACAAAATGGCACGAAAATTGTTTTTGCTTTTCAAGGAGGGGAAGTTCGAACTCATAGACTCTCTGCATTCTCATCGACCGGTTTAGTTTGATGAGAAACAATTGCACGCGCTAATTAAAGAAGAACTGTGCCAGACCCCCAGGGAATTGGCTCAGAAGATGGCAAGCTCTCTGGGTGATAGATTGATTAATTTTTTGTTTGTTTTTTGTTTTTTTACAGCTTATTAACCTTTTTAAACCGAAACATATTTTTTGATTGTAAATATATTCTTGGAGATAATAATGATTTTCTTATACAAGTTTTGATAATTAATGCATAGCAGAGATGGCTTCATACCTTTAGCAAGGATATTTGCACCTAAGTAAATATAATAAACCTGCCTGGAATTCGAATTCGACTCGACGATATCCCCACCCGAAACCTGCACATCCATGCTTACAGCATCTGGTATTCCCCAGCGGTCACCCATATAGGTACTGACCAGGTTCAACGTTGCTTAACTTCGGTGATCAGACGAGAACTGGTGTTTCAACGGGATATGGCCGTAAGCCAGAAGAGGGTTACTGATGTTGCATGTAAATTTTTGAAGATTATACGGGAAAGGGAAGCAAGATACCGACAGAGAGTTCCACAGCCGAGAAGTGCGAGAAATGAAACTATTAGAATAGAACTGGCGGTTGCATCTAGCTAGTTTAACAGTAAAACTGTGAGACGTATTTGCCAATCGAATAACACGCTTAAATTCATGTAGTCAAAGCCCTGAAGAGAACAGCTCATCGGAGCAATTGCTATGTTAAAAAAAAATGGACGCCCTGTTCAAACATGATACTAGATAGACAAGAACAAACACCTTAACATTTTAAAGAGTCTAAGATAAAAGGATAACGTCAGAGTGCGAAGCGTTGACTTTAAAAAAACATAAGTGAATGAAAACGACATGTTCTTTATAAATTGAATAAACAAAGCAATGTATTGCTAACTCGTTGTATTACACATCAGTTGGTTAAACATCACCTAATCCGAAACTCACATGTGATAACAATTAATATGCTAAGCTGAAAACTTCAGTTTGCCGCCAACAGATTCAAATGAAAACGCTAATATATACGCCATGAGGCGCACATCAGTTACAACCAACACCCAAATACTTAAAGATAAACATTAGAAAATAATTTAATGAAAATAAATGTGGACAAAACATATTTATGGTAAACACTTGCTTAAACTTGAGTTTCGCAAATTTTCATCGAGTGTTTTTTTTTTTTTTTATTCCGTCATTCCGATGTCTCCATAAATCTGGCGTCGATTCAAATAATCAGTCGCTTGATAAGGATCAGAAGTCGGTCAGTGATTTCGAAAATATAAACGGGAGGCGAAAAAGTCATTGAGTTGAATCGAAAAGACGGCAGAAGATTTCAGATGATTAAAAATTTGGCTCAAAGTATCTAATGCAAACAAGTGTCAAACGTATTTTTTTAAAATGAAAAAAAAAAAAAAACAGAACAAGTACTAAAAGTGAGAGAAGAGTAATACTTTTAATACGGAAATATGGCACATGATATTTTTAGACTGACAGAAATGTCGGCTGTTTGTTAAAAAAATCTGATTGAATGTTGTTTTTTTTTTCATTATTTCATAAATTATTCAGTTTAGAATACGCAGCTTGGTTGTTTTAAATAGAATGGAATTCTTCATTTAAAACTTGGAGTAAAAACAATAGAAATCTGGATACGAGGCTGTAAAAAAATTATAGAACAACGATAAATATCTTTTTCTGGACTTTAACAAAACCGATGCAAACTCAATACTAAATTACATAGTAAATATTAAAAACTAACATCTGTATGTGTCATTTTATGTCTGCACACACACACAAACACATATATATGTGTGTATGTATGTGTGCGTACCCCCGTGTGTGAGTGTGAGTGTGAGTGTGAGTGTGTGTATGTACGTTTAGGCTGCATATCTTCATTCAAACAAATTTCATTGAATAATATAGACATATTATGCCTACTTATTTTTATACTGATTCTTTCCAGATCTCTAATCAGTTTCTTGATGTTAAGATGAAATTCATCAAGAAAGGCGCCATAGTTCTTTCCTACCCAAGTACTTTCGATCACCTCCAAGATCATCCTCTTGTATAAATTACAAAGATCTTTGTGATGGTGATTTTTAAAAACACGCGTGATAGCGCTCTGTTACAATTATTTTAAAATTTTAAATATATCCGTTGTAGTTATGGAATCTTTTGCAAAACAAGCGTCCTAATATAAGGGAGCTGACCAGAAATTGATAGAAATGCAAAATGGCATTAAATGTTTGTTATATGCACTTCACTATGTTGCTGCTACACTCGTAATAAATTTGGTTGAGTGTTGGTTGCTTGCTTTTGAGGACCTCAAGAATTTGAAGTTTTTTGCTTATTATTTTCATGGTGTTGTCAACAAATATTTTTCTGCATTGTGAAAGTGGACAGGAATGTGTTTTTAGATGTGCAATACAAATTATTTACCCACACCATGTCTATGATTTTCAGTTTCGTCGTTTTGATTATTGCTATTCCAACGAATCTTTCTGAAGAAATGTTAGATGAAAAAGGTCCCTTTAAAAGAATGCGTTCTGCCATTTTCAAAGCCATATATATATATATATATATATATATATATATATATGTGTGTGTGTGTGTGTGTGTGTGTGTGTGTGTGTGTGTGTGTGTGTGTGTGTGTGTGTGTGTGTGTGTGTGTATCCGGCAAAGGAAGTGTTGATGCTAGTGTGGTCGTTAATCAATATATACATAACTTATCTATATGTGTGTAGGTTTCGGCAGGTATTTGAGTTGGTTTATCTTTGTTAGCGACATATCAACACTTCCATGGGTCATTTAATGCCGAAATCTAAATATTTTGAACATTTTATGGCTTCAGCTAAATATAGTTTGAAAGCAACTGCATGCCTTCAATGACAGATAAAATGTACTGTTAGTCATTTTTCTGTAAAATATATTGTTGGTAATTCTATTATGAAAATAGATATTGTTGGTAATTCTATTATAAATAGATATTGTTGGTAATTTTGAAATATAAATATGTATTGTTGGTACTTTTACTACAAAAATGTAATTTTATACTTTCATAGCTTTGCTTTGCTTTGTTTGGAAATTCACTATTTAGCCATAGCTGGGACCCTAATAGGTGCTACCACCCCGTGGTCAGGGTGGGCCTGAGAACAAAAGCAATTAGGAGGTGCAGGTATTTAAGAACATGGGTATATATATATATATATATATATATATATATATATATATGTGTGTGTGTGTGTGTGTGTGTGTGTGTGTGTGTGTGTGTGTGTGTGTGTAAATTGTTGAATTGGCTAGATGTAACCGTAAGTCCTATGCAAACACTTTCTTCTATCGCACTTCTCGCTGATGGAACTCTCTTCCATCATCCTGTTTCCTTGTCAACTTTGATCTTCAAAAATTTAAATGGAATGTCAGTCGTTATCTCCTGTCTTCTTAATACTTGTTCTTTTATTGTTCTCTCTCATTTTCATATTCTCTGACATTCATAACCCCTTGCGTTTATTTGCTTTATTGACTTGCTTGGAGTGAAACGATAATCAATATATATATATATATATATATATATATATATATATATATATATATATATATTGCATGAAACATTTATACAAAAAGTAGATTAGTAAAGTTAATGATATAAAATAGCGCTCCAAAGGTTTTTATCCTTTAACAATAACACATTTCTACAAAAACATATTTCGATTCGCATTTAATCTTTCGTCTCTTCTACTACCTGGATTTAATAAAAACAAAATAATTTCCATGCTTGAGGATGACTGTGTGTACAGTTGAAAGTACTTGCAGATTAAAAAAAAGACCTTATACGACTTGTAGTTATTATAAACAAGGATCATAACATTCATCGAGTGGTTCGTAGGTTAATGCAACTTTAAAATTTTGTTTAAGAGATTTCGCCATTTTATATCATTAACTTTACTAATCTACTTTTTGTATGAATGATTCATTGTAATATAAATTGAACTGCACCACATATTTGAAATATATATATATATAGAGAGAGAGAGAGAGTGAGAGAGAGAGAGAGAGTAGATAGATAGATAGATAGATAGATAGATAGATAGATAGATAGATTAGAGAAATTAATGGATTTTAACCATTATCCAACATTTCTTATTGCTCTAAACAGTATATTTATTGGATCACCGTGTTTTGGTAGACAAAACTATTTGCAATACTTATTTTCTTTATTCTATGCAACAGAAATGTTCTGATTTTTCTTTCTTTACACCGTTTCACCACTCGTGAAACTATCATATTTTATTCTTCCAGCAAATCTGTTTTATCGGCGGCATTTTCTGTATCTTCGTACGATTTTCTGTGTAGCTCATCTGAACATTTGCCATGAAAACTGCCATACAAACGAGACGGATTTGCAAAGTTTCACCTGATGGAAAGGTGGGTTGTATAATGGAAAGTAATTAAGGCCACGCAGAAGTTTTTGCATTGTCAAAGATTGGAAGTGAGAACTTGGTAACTCCAGCTTAAATATGGCAGCAATTCTCCAATTTTGGTTTGCTCTGAGTCTTAAACATAAAAAATGGCAAGAGGATTCATGTTCTTTCTGGCGCTGTACAATGAACTAACAGTTTTTCCAGCCTCATTAGAGATGAACTGTACATAGGAATTTCATTTTATTATTCTAACTTTATTCCACAAGTGTGGAATGAAGTTAAAATGATTTGGTGGTACTTTCTAAAAAGTCTAAATTTTGAAAAATGATTAAGACCTATTTATTGGCACGCCATTTTAAATTTTATATTCATGTACTCAGTTTCTAATCACATTGTCTTATTTTTTTTTTTTGCTATTTTCTTATTTATTTACTTTTTTATTTTAGATGTCCGTCTGTTGAGGGAGGTGCAGGTGACATCATTGAAAGTTAGATCGGAGATCCCGGTTCAAATTCCAGCCTAGCCTAGCCTCCTGCGCCGACTTTCGTACAAATGTTTTCGTCCCTTACGTAGCTATGGGTTAAACTGCTGCATAGATTTGGTCTCTCTAGCCTTGGATGGTAATCCGTCAAAAAAAAGTAAAGTTCTGAATGAAAAATCGTGACGCAAGAAGTCATGACAATTCACTGATAATAAGGAATCTGTGGAGAGCCATAATAACTTACGCCATGAAGAGACATGACATATCTTTCTTTTTTTAACAGTCTGTTCATTTTTATTCTTTTTAATTTTTTAATTTTTTATTTGAACTCCTTTTTAATTTTATTATTATTTTTTTCTTTATTTGTTTTTAAATTTGGTGTAGACAATCCTTTCAAAACATTGGCTATCAATCTTGTGTGCTTGAGTCTTACTGAGTACTCCTCTTTTGTTGACTTGTAGCAGACTAAACTAAATCTGGACAATATGCTTGCTGCAGAAATTATGGCTAGTAAGCTAGTTTTACAAGACTATGTATTGTCGGTAAGTTCAATTCTCATTTAGTGCTCTA